ATAACCTGCTTTGTCATTTGTCTTTAAAGTATTGGTGTTTTTTTTATTTTTTGGTACCTAAATGCCTTGTTTTTCCTTGGACTGCTCTTATTTAGACTGCTGGTCAAAAGTTTGGAATAATTCAGATTTTTCAAATGTTTTTGAAAGAACTCGCTTATGCTCATCAAGGCTGCATTTATTTGATTTATTAATAAAACATAAATATTGTGAAATATAATTATAATTGAATATATTTTAAAATTTATTTCTGTGATGATAGAGCAGAAATTTTTGCAGCCATTACTCCAGTCTTCAGTGTCACATGATCCTTCAGAATGAAACATTTCTTATTATCAATGTTGAAAACCCATCTTTTTGCAGCTTAATCTTTTTTGGAACCCCCCCAGGTTACCTGGTTATAGCTGGGAAAAAAGGTTTTCAACACTGATTAAAAATCAATTATTATTTCATTTATTGATAAATGAGCACCAGTGATATTTGATAATAACTGGAGCACCAAATCAGCATATTAGAATATTTTCTAAAGAGTCATGTGACACTGAAGCCTGGAGTAATGGCTGCTTTTCAGCTTTGACATCACAGGAATAAATTAAGTTTTAAAATATATTAAAATAGAAAACAGTTCCTTTAGGTTAAAATATTACTTATATTACTGGATGCTCGAAATTGAACGGGAGAATGCACGTTTTAAACAGCCTATTGTACAGGTTAAGTTAATCGGCGTTCTAATCTAATGCGCTGCTGCATTGTAACGCACACACATTACAGACAGTAGCTCGTACATCATGCGCAGATCGCACGCACACAGAATAATTCAGTGTGGAAATGTATTGTCAACACTGTTCTGTGATTTCTCAATAAAATAGCTTTGAAACTGAAAAGTTCAAGCATATATTTCTTAATCACTAAATCCCACAGCTTCACTTCTAGTAGAGAGACGCTGCCAGGTAGAATTAATTCTGACACGCAATGCTCTCTCTAATGCATTCATATTAATGTAATCTTTACTGTGCTACTTTATCTGTATCTGATTTAGAACGAGCAGAAATCTGTGAGAAATATAAAGACCCAAAGACAAAAGAACTGTTAAAAATGAGCTGTTATAGGAGCAATAGCCATGTGGGCAGCGCTGTGTCATATGCCGTAGCTGTGCACAAGGTGTTTATCACAGCTCCAGACTTATTTGTTCATTAATGACGTCATCAGCGACTAATCATCACCTCATAAAAGTCGACTTTAAAAAATCCGAAGTCGTTCAACCCCTAATATATATATATATATATATATATATATATATATATGTATGTATGTATGTATGTATGTATGTATATGTATGTTATTTAAGGAGGTAGTATAAACAAAAATGTACTCACACTCAGGCCATTGAAGATGTAGATAACTTTGTTTTTTCATCTGAACAGATTTGGGGAAATTTAGCATTCAGTAAATGGGTGCCATCAGTCCAAAACAGCTGGTAAAAGCATCACAATAATCCACAAGTAATCCACACGACTCCAGTCAATCTATTAACGTCTTGAGAAGTGAAAAGCTGCAAGAAATAAATCCATCGTTAAGGTGTTTTAACTTTAAACGGTCATTTCTGTCCAAATATGAGTTCATAATTCATAATAATAATAATAATAAAAAAGTCCTCACATCAAAATCTAAAATTTGTTTAGGACTGCGTTTTTATGAATTGTGGACTCCTTTTGGAAGAAACCGTTTGAAGTTAAAACAGTTTATAGATGAATTTGTTTCCTACAAGCACTCAGATTTTCACTTCACAGGATGTTAATAGATGGACTGGAGTCAATTACTTGTGGATTATTATTATGTTGTTTTATGATGTTTCTGATGGCACCCATTCACTGCAAGTGATGTAATGCTAAATTTTTCAAATTCTGTTCCAATGAAGAAACAAACTCATCTACATCTTGGGCGGCCTGGGGGTAAGAACATTTTCATTTTTGGGTGAATTATTTTTAAAACTGGGGTTGCAAAAAGGTGGAAAATTTCCAGTAAATTTCGGAAATATTCCAGAAATTTTGGAAACTTTCCAGGATTTTTTTGGAATATTCCAGGGATTTTTTATTTTTTTTAATTTCCGGAAATTTTCCACCCCTTTGCAACCCTATTTAAAACCAATCCACATTTTTTCCTTAATTAGTCAGAAAAAAAAAAAAGTGCTTCTGTGCCTAACCAAGAATAAAAATTATCTTCCTTTCCAACAAAAAACACTATGGGTGTCTAAAAATAGAGGTCAGTTATGCCATCATTTATTCATTGGATTTCTATGGCTCGATTTGCAGTCTAATAATATTTACATGGTGTAAAATATGAAAGAACTCATCAGCGGGGTGCAACCATTGATTTCTGCCACCCCTTTCTTCTGCTCTTGTGCCTCTCTTCTTGTTTCCCTTTTCTGTCGCTTTCCATGCAACTGAAAGCTCTTTTTCCATTTGGTAAATAAGGACAGCATCAAAATGCAGTCGTGCAGCAGAGGCGTTTTAGACCTTTATACAGTGAAGTATATTTAAAAGTCTGACCATTCAACCTTTCTCACCCCAGGTGGCTGTGAAAAACAATATTGATGTCTTCTACTTCAGCACGCTGATCCCTCTCAGTGTCTTCTTCGTGGAGGATGGCAAAATGGGTACAAGCACTCGGCGCACACATGCTCGATCTAAAAAGAGTTTCACACTGAGGTTTAATAAAAGAGTGGATTGATTGGATGTAACTATGATTGAACACACTTTAGACACTGACTGGCTAATCCCACATGATAATCTTTAAACGTTTCTTCAACAGAGCGTCAGGTGTTCTTGGCCACATGGAAGGACATCCCAAATGAGAATGAGCTGCAATACCAGATCAAAGACTGCCACTTAAATGCAGGTGAGGTCATCCAGCCCTCAACATGCATGACTCGTGAGTTTGTGTTAGAGGGGTTTTGTGATGTATGGATCAGTGGTCATTGAATTAGAGGCAGATAGAATAGAGGAAAGCTTACAAATAGCTGGGTAACAGCAAAGGATCTGTTTGCCAGAGCGCCCATACCTCTTTGTAGTTTGGGCTCTGTCCGTATCCAAACTGGCACCTGATAGAGATAGCTGCAACATGCTACAGTGTGTCTGCTTGAAAAACACCCCCATTTTTTTCATAGCACGGATACTAAAAGCCAGTTTATTTTCCTTAGAAAAATATCTTAATAGAGAAACTAACTTCTTAGTTTCTGCATTCTAACGGGTGATTACAAATCATGAAACAGGTTTATGTTCCCTGACTTGGCACAATGCAGATGCTAATTTATTCATTAACAAAATAGGTAACATCTGTAAAAAAAAAAATGCAACAACCTCATATTTTTAGGGTAAAGTTAGGAGTTAGGACTCTTATTGGATTATAATTAACCATTGGTTAGTTATTGTACATCTACAGTATCACACTATTAGAGCATGATGACCAAAGGTAAAACCACACAAAGCACCTCACTATCATGGTAAATGTAACTATATGGTTTGGTTTCTACAGTATTTGTATGAAAGCAGCCTAAATACATTTAGTATAAACAAATGCTATAGTTTAATAACCATTAGTCCTTTAATACATTTAATGTATGTCTACATTAATATAATAAAGTTCCATATGTATATCGCGTATTTCAGCTACAATACCATGGTGCAGTTAGTTTTAATACAGTAAATCCATGTAAAAGCCATCTAATTGGATTGTTCATGGCACAGTGTTTCTCATGTTTGTCAGTGCTGTTGAGAATGTCAGCACTGTTGCATTTGGCTTGAAACTAAATCACAGAGACATTTTGTGTTCTTCGCTGAATTCGAGTGCTTCTTAAAATTGATTGCTATAAATTGTTTGTTTAATTTTGTTTGTTTGTTTAATATTTAATTAATTTTGATATCGAAGGGTATATTTTTGGATATATTTGGATTCTGATATAGTGTGTGTGTGTGTGTGTGTGTGTGTGTATATATATATATATATATATATACACACACACACACTGTGTGTGTGTGTATATATATATATAT